GTATTGGTTGTAATTAGGTTTTAGTTATATGTTGATTCTAATTTTAATATTATATATTTGATTGTCATAATTTTCTATTTTACGTATTATAATATATTATATGTTAATTTTAATAATTATTTTATATATGTGTTATGTTTATCTATACTATCTTACAAAGCATTTGGCTAAAACTCTTAAATCCGTTCATACTTAAACGATTTCATCCCTATCCGATTTCATCCCATATCTGAATTCGTGTAATTAACTGCACATAAACACAATCAAATACATGATAAACATCTCATTTTAAATATAAAAAATATAAAATATAATTAGTATAATCATTAAATTCTAACAGAATACTTAATTATTATCTTTATAAAATGTTATATATTATTAAACCAAAAATAAATTATTTCATTATTAAACTTAAATTAAATTATAAACAAAAAGAAATTGTTAGTTTGATATTAATATCAATAATTTTTTTTTAAAATTTTATGATATCTTCATGTTTATATTTTATTCAAAAATAAAAACATTATTATTCTTTTTAAAACCACATAAAACCGTATTATAACATTGATTGAAGCAAAACAAAAACGATACACTAAAATCGAGATATATATTTATGCATTACGCAAGTAACCTTCTAGTTCTCTATAATGATCTAACAAATTCTCTATGATGTTTTCAAAAATAGAGAAAACATGGAAAAAAAAAACTCAATGATGTTAAGAGAGAGAAATGATTATTTTTATTCAATCCCACTAATAAAATAATTATTAGTATTTTATAAAAATTTATTTTTAAAAGTATATTGTAATGATAAATTAATAAATATTATAATAATCTAATTTATGTTAAAATTTATAAGATAGAGAATCTATTAAAGATAAACTAGAAGAGTACTAGCGCAATGCAGTGAAACACATATCGATTTTAATGTTTTATTTTATTAGTTGTCTCTGTCGATGTTATAATATGATTTTATGTTTTTAAGAAAACAATAATAATTTTATTTTTGAATAAAATATAAATTTGAAGATATCATAAAAATTTGAAAAAATATATATTTCAATGTGAATATCAAATCAACTATTTAAAAGTTCTCATTTTTTTATGTATTTTCTTTAATTTATTTATTTTATTATAATTTAATTTAAGTTTAATAACGAAATAATTTATTTTTGGTTTAATAATATTATATTTTATAAARATAATAATTAAGTATWCTGTTAGAACTCAATGATTATCCTAATTATATTTTAGATTTTTATATTTAAAATGAGATGTTTATCATGTATTTGATAATGTTTATCTGCAGTTAGTCACACAAATTCAAATATGGAGCTTTAATAAGTTGTACTTACGCACAATCTACTTGCAATCTTGGGTTTTAAGTAATATGCATTAATAAACAGTACTTTACGCATAAAAGTGGTTTTTAAGAGTTTTTGTCAAATGCTTTATAATATATTATAGATATAAGTTTTTTTTTGAGACTTTAATTTTTAAAAATTGTAAAAAAATTATTAAAAATACTCTTAATAATATTCTTAGGGGGTGTTTGAGATTGTTTATTTGAAACAACGTATACTTTTCTAAAAAAGTTTTTATCAACTTATTATAATTTAGAATAATTTAATTTCTTGAAAAAAAATTTATTACTAATTTGACACCAATATAAACTATTTATCCAAACATTAAAAAATATTTATTATTAATATAACATCAAAATAAATCAATAAATTATTTTAGTTTATTTTAGAGAAATCTGTGAGAGCTTGTTGTTTGGATAACGTGTCCCATCCGCAATTCCACGTGCTTAGTTTATTAATTTATCGGCGATTTTCGGGTTGTCCGGTCCTCCGATTCCGATTCCGATTCCGTTTCCGATTCCAACTTCCTGTCTCTCTCTATCTCCATCTCTCTTGTGTCCCCTATTCCTCTCTCACAAACACCACATCCAAAACGGTTTGAGCAGATTTACAATCCTCCGCCGTCGATCACCGTCTCTGTCGGCCGTCAACAACCTTCCCGTAAGTTAAGTCAAACTATTTTTTAGTCAAGGGCATTCGTACTGAAATATGTAGATCCAATTACTTGCTTTTCCCACTCCTATTAGCTGCCAAGTTAACAGGACTTGTTTGATTTTGGATTGATTTGTGGTGGAAGTTGTGGCGGGGTGAACGAAGTTGGTACCGGATGTGGTGGGTTATATTATTTGAAGGTGGTTTGGTGATGTAAAACAACTTATTAATGATGAGAAGAAATCAAACATAAAATCTGAAAAATTCTCTCTCAATCTAACAAAATTCTTCCATTAACTATCCTGTATTTACACCACCGATATCAAGGGGACTCTTGAATTAAAAGAAGGAAAAAAGAAACACCATAATCAGGAAAAAGGATTTGGTGGATCTTAACTTATCTTCTAAAGCACACCAAGTTCATTTATCTGAAGAAGTCAATACAAAATGTTAAGCACCATACTGTATCTATGCACACATAAAATGATCATACATGGTTGTTCAGGCAGAAGAAGGTTTAACCAGGGGCTTGGTCAAGAAAAATCAAGCCCTTGTGTGGTTCTCATTGATATAGAGACGGAGACGGAGAAATGGCTATCGATTCAACTTCTTTACCTGAACCTGCTCCTTCCTGGTTTACTCCTAAAAGGTGCACTCTTTATGTTTATTTCCTTTTCTTCTTTTAGGTTATTGATTATTTGAGGAGAAACCTAGCTAAACTAATGTGGGGGTTCATATGATTTTCAATCTTCCTATAAGATGTGAAATTGGAGATTGGAATTTGGTTTCAATTCTCTATGTGTTGTTGATGGTTGATCAAGTTTGAATGTTTAATGTATGCATCTGTTAGTTGTCACGGATGATTTGGGTTTTTGGTTTCATTGGCAACGTTTAGTAACTGGTTCAACAATTTTATCAGTGAGATGAGATTTCTAGGTGAAATCTTGGATTGCATCAAAGTGGTTAATGAATATAAAGCTGAAATGGGATTAGTTTGAAACCATTTTTATCTTCCCTGCTGACTTTGGACATGGTGTGTTGTCAATTCTTGACAGTTTTACCTATTTTTTAGTATGAGTTGATCTCCCAATTCTATATGCACAGGTTGCTTGTTGTATTCTGTGTGATCAACATGGTAAATTATGTGGATCGAGGAGCTATTGCGAGTAATGGTGTGAATGGGAGTCCCAGAAGTTGCACAGAGAGTGGTGTGTGCTCAGATGGTAGTGGAATTCAGTAAGCCTTACATCTACACTATGTCTTGTTACTTTGTCCCTATATTTTTCCGGTGGCAAGGGCACACTCACATGTATCGGTCATGCCGTTTTCTATTTGTTCCTACCATTGATTTTTTGGCTATGCTTCAGCTAAACACCTTACAAATACTGTAACTTAAGTGTCAGACGATCTTACTGTCTACTCTAAGATTGAATGACCATGTAATAGACTAATAGGAAATTAGGGAAATAAAATTGACACAAAGGTAAGGTTGCTCATTTTCCATCTGGTTATAGGTTCAAACATATTCACTAATTGCATTTTAGGCCTTAGACCCTTTCATATATTTAGAATGTTAGAATTTTTGCCAACTGGCCTCTCCTGTTTTTTTTTTCTTTTCAAAATGCTTGTCGGGTTGATGGAGATACGGAAGGTTTATAAGCGCTCTTGGATCATCCATCACCAAAAACAAATAAAAAAAGAACTATAAATAAAAAATGTAGGCATGCTGCAAGTGTATTCTTTATCTTTGGAAATAACTGGAGGTGAAGGAACAAAAATAAATCCACAGTTCATTTGAAGCAGCTGTTGAGCATTAAGACTATGATGGTATATGCAGAATTCTTGACAGAAATCAGTGACTAGCTCCAATAGTTATGATGTGTGTTCTGTTACAGTGTTACCTTATAACATCATTGCTCAGATGTTTTCTCTACCTTCTTTGTTCTGCAGGGGTGATTTTGACCTGACCAATTTTAGAGATGGGGTCATATCCTCTGCTTTCATGGTTGGACTTCTTGTTGCATCTCCAATATTTGCATCCTTGGCCAAGAGGTAATTTGTCTCTTCTAAATCATTACCTACCCTTTTTGGCAAATGGCAAAATTAGGATTACGATGATTGGCTACTGGCTAGTTAGTTAATATACATATCTTTTACTTTTTTTCAAATGGAGGTGTAATACACAGGGAATGATCAATAGTCGTCATTGTAACATGTAACCTTACTTGACAATCATTTCAACTGGCTGCTTCCGTGAAAGCTCCTGGCTTGTGTAAAAGTGAGCAAAAAGGAAAACACAAGGAAAAGAAGGATCAACAAGACTAGTACATAATAAGCAGCTGAAAAAGAAAAAAGGCACAAAGTAAGAAAACACACACAAACCTTCCATCTAATGCAGGTCTCTGATACTCTTAACTGTCAGCTTCCTAATCCTCGCCCTGTCCTACCCTCGCCCTCCCTAACTCACAACTTCTTGAACCCACTAGCTACAGGTGCCCACCTGAAACCTACTACCGTAGTCTTGCGTCTCCATGAACTCCTATAAGATAGAAGATATAATCTAATCTACTACCCTAGTCATGTTTCCATGAAGATCCCCGGAATCGGTCTTCCAATTTTGTCACAAGGATTACAGGAATTAACGAGTTTGCTCTTGTATGAGAGCAGTATATGAATCCTTTTCAACTATTAAGTCCTTATCAGGGTCGGTCCCAGTGTAGTGCATACCGTGGCACAGGGCACCGCTTCTTTCCTCCGTCGAAGGGTAAAAGATTATAGGGTCGTTAAAATTGCCACCGTATCAATTTGTTGTGTGCCACCGTATGTATTTTGAAACTACAATGATGACACAAGTTTCCTTTTGGTAGAGTTGGTTTGCAAGGGTTTTTTTCCACTCTAGACCCTTGTTCAAGTCCCATTAGTGTCATTTTCTTAGTTTTTAGCTTTTAGTTTTAGGAATATTATGTTTCTTAAAAAGACTTGAACACAGGACCTCACATATGAAAAACAATGAACTAACCACCAGACCAATGTTGATTTTGTAAAAGATAGTTATATATTTGTTTCTTATAGTCAAATGGTGCCACCACTTATAAAAAATTCTAGGTCCGTCTCTGGTCCTTATCCTGGGGTACTGGTGGGAAGGCAGTACGCATCAAAAATAAAAAGAGAGAATGGAGGGGGGAAAGACTGAAGTAGGGAAGCACTGCTTGTTGGCTTGGAGCACCTTGCTCAAAAATCTTTCGACTACGTACAGGCCCCCCCTTATGTAGATAGGTTTCTAACTTGTTTATGGAGCCACAGTATATATATGAATTGGAACCATATTCGACAATTTGAAATCATGTTGTGTATGTGTCATTAAACAACTGCATTTATGTTGCTGAAGAATAATTTTTTGGCAGTTGCACGGCATCAAACTGTTTTTTTCTATTTTAGGGCTGCACTCTTGAGCAGTTTTGCATCCATTATCTTTTGCTTAGAACTTGACTGCCATGAGTTAGGATAGAATCAAGAACATAGAACTGATAATACCATTACATGGCAAACATCATTCTGTGAACAAAGAATTCTGCTTTCAGAAACTGCGTTACATAAGCAGAAGTGAGTCTATTCTCGTTGTATTATAATCAATAGGTGTGGGCACATTTCGCATGTTGTGCATCACAATTCATCAACCATGACCATGAAGAATGTTAGAGTTGGAGCAGGGGCACATTACATATAACAGTCTACATAAAGCTGCCAATTTTAAATGTTAATCTCTTCTACCCCCGTGAGCTTTAAACTGTTAAGCCATGCTACATAATATTGATAAGGCTTTGGATGTTGCTCAGCTTTTGAATCTGATGTCTTTATCTTGAGTAATTGTGGATTTTAAGCCTTAATGATACTTAGCACCATCTCTTAAACCCATAGGAACACTGATACCATACCCAAGCTATAAAAGATTGCAGTGCACTCTTCCATGAAGTTACAACAACATAATATCTTTGTAATGGGATGGAGAAGTTGCCTATGGCTGGATTCATATCTTCCCAAAAACAACCAACACCACGATTTTGCTTACACTTTGTTCACTGATGTGTAGCTGGCTTTTAAGCTTATCTCCTTCAAATAGCATCTTTTGAGCTTTCCTCAACTCATCCAATCTGAAGGGACTTTCCAGGCTATGCACCAGACCCAAAATATGTTTCTGATCATGAGCTCTCCATGGTAATTCAGAGCCTCTAAGTGGGCGCATCTATATATACCACCCAATCCGTTTCTGGAATTGGGTAGGCATATAGGGAAAAATTTGATGAAATATGCTTCTTCAGTGAATTCACTTCTATAGAAAATAAGTCTTATATGGTGCTGATGCATCATTAGTAACATAGCTAACTTTTTTTCTTGCTTTTGCCTCTGGAAATGAAAATTCCAATGAGTCATTAATTAGCAGTAGTTATGTCCAATTTTGCCTCCGGAGAGTCCAATATTTTCTTCTTGGCAATTTGTATTAATCCACTCCTGTGAAAAAAAACTTGGAATATTCACAGTCAGGAATGTTGTTAACTATTAACTAAAGAAACTTCTTTTGTGAAATAGGGGAAGTGAACAATGTTGTATCATTTCGACATAATAATTAATTCGGGATCATTATGGCAGCATGTTTACATACACCATATACAAGGAGTAGAATGATAAGTAGGCTTAGTTGTTGGTAAATTAGATTTGATGGTGCCACTTGATGAAGCCATTATTTTTTATGTTAAGCAGGCTAACAATCTGCTTTATGCCACAATTTTTTACATGATGGATAATTGATATGCTCTTGAACTCTCTTTGTGAGGTGTTCTAAATGAGAGTATGATAAAAATGGCATAAGGAATATGAATAATAACCACCTTACTTATACCTTATGATAAGCGTAAATTTGTCCATGAAGATTTTACTAAATTCATGGCTCATCGGTAATTATCCATAAATGGTGAGGTAAACTGATAATGTTACCTTACCGGCTTACCCACAATTAGAATAATATACAAACACCTTAAATAGTCAATGAAACATTTCTTAAACCATCAGCATACTAAACACAAGTCTCATCATACATATCTAGCTTATTTCTAGAACTACAACAGATATGACAAGTTGACAACAAACAATTTTTTGACAATTTGAAACTACAGTCTGTACTTTATTTGCATGGTTTAGGTACTATAATAAAAATGGATGCATTTATGTGGCTGAACATCTGCATGGCTTCAAGCTGTTTTTGATGACTTGGAGGCTGTTGACTTGATAGTTATGAATTATGTCCTGAACTAAAAAAACTGACAAAAGTATGGCCATGCTTGAGAAAGTTATCCTGCAGTTAAGCATACAATTGTGTTTTTACCGCCACTTTGCTGCTTAGTTTCTAAGAACTAGATGTTTCTGTAACGGTGATTACCTGGCGTTTGTATTCTAGGCAAAAGCCTTTCTGACTTTTTCGGAGTTATCTATTCTAATCTCCCAAATATAAAAAGCCAGTTATGAACCTAACTATCAAGTAAGAAACAACAGGAATGATGGATTGCCATGGTGATACTCTACCTTTGACTTCAAAAATGTAATGGGTAAAAAATCACGACTTGGTCACTGGGTGGATGTATAAGTATCAAGTTTTATTTTCACTGCCAGCCAAAGCTCTTTGCCCATGAGTTCATGCCTATTACCCTACTTGTTCCTTTGATTTGAGCACTGTTCTAAACAACTTTTTTAAGGCAACGTCAGCATTTGGTACTAATGGGCTAAATCTAAAAGGGTTTCTATAAAGTCACGTTTGGTATGTGAACAGGATTGGATGAGTCAGGGTGAGGTAGGCAGGTGAAAGAATTGTGGAATGATTTAGGGTTTTAATTTGACATGGGTAGTTTAATTGTCCCATCTCATTCAATTGGTGGGACAAAAAATTGTGTTTTTGTCCAACTCAGTCCCTCCTTCTCCTAATCTAATGTAGTGCCAAGAGTGAGACAACAAGTTTCTATTGTGTCCCATCCTGTCCCTGGATTTCTGTAGGAATGCAGTTACTCTTTTGGTCGAGAGATCCTGAAAACACTTTAAGCAAAACTAGTATAGATTAAACCTAAGGTGGTAACTGGTAAATTGGGTGGGTTGGGTAGATTGGATGATGGGTCAAAATGAGTTATTGACCTAATGGGAAGGTAAAAGGGTTATGTTTGCTAGAATGGGTCATTGTCCAATGGTTTGGGTCAAGTTGGGTTGACGTGATGGATTTAAACATCTCTTTTCTCTCCTCCTTTTTGGAAAAAAATGGCATGACACAGCCACGTGTGAAATTAATTAGTAGATTAGTAACTTGCTGAAAGTTTGGAACATTAAATTATATTGATAGATGACAGTTGAAATTTTATTGTAGATATAAATGTAATATTATATATCCAGAGAAGATTTGTTGATTATTGATTGATAAATTGCTTATATATCCAATCCCATGCTGATAAGAAAAGCGAGTGGTTTCTAGTCAGCTTTCATATTAAATAATTTAAAAATTAATTTACCACATGTTTTAGATTGTGAAGCCTATGTCATTCATTCCTTTTGGTATCATTTTCTGTCATGTCATATAGTTTCGTGCCTTATCGTACCATTATTGTAATGCTTATACCTATTACCTAATCCCTCTTTTTGTACAACTTTGTATCAGTTTGTTCCTAATCATAAGGTCTTGTACTATTTTGAATGGTTTTATGCTTTATATCATATTACATTGTGAGTTAATTTGTTTTTAAGTTGATGTGAAATTTCAATTTGAAAAAAAGGTGGAGGGCCAATTTGATTGGATTGGATAAGGGGTCTAAACGGATGATTTGGGTAATTATGATTGTTTGTTTGACCCATTTGTTAGTTAACTCGGATTGGATGACGATTCGGAACAAATTTTTATTTATTATTCATATTGTAACATGCAGACAAAAATTTGGTAATATGAAAATAAGTAGATTGCGTGATTTGGCTAATTATCATGATCAAGTTAACACATAATACTACTTGTTTTGAAGTCATCAACCCATTTTTTATTTTATCCAGGAGTCAAGTTTTTTATTTTATCCATCACAACTTGATCCTCGATAGAACCAGAGTGAAGTTTTTTTCCAATTTGGCTGGGCAAGAAAGAAAAAAACGAACTTTTGTCACCTTTTTCCCTAGACCAAACTTCTTGATCACAGTTGCAAACAATACATTCTAATCAGAGAGGTTCAATATCTAGGATAGGTTAGAAATGAAGCTTTGAGTTGTCCTGATTAAGTATTCTTTTGATTTTTGTCTATATGAGCAGCATCAATCCTTTCAGACTTATTGGAGTTGGATTGTCGGTCTGGACTCTTGCCGCAGCTGGTTGTGGGGTTTCAGTTGATTTTTGGTCAATCACAGTCTGCCGAATGTGAGTAGGCTACTCGAAAACCTTCATACCAAGTGACTTCTCTTTCTAGCTATTGATGTCTCAACTTTTGTATCACCCAAATATTGTTCTCTTCAGGTTAGTTGGTGTTGGTGAAGCTTCATTCATAAGTCTTGCAGCTCCATTCATTGATGACAATGCTCCAGTAACTCAGGTTCTCTTTCTTGCTGGCATTAGGCAACATTCATATATGTTTTGTGTTCGAAGGTCCATACCGACAACTAAGGTCATGTTTGACAAGGTTTTTGTTTCCTACTTTTGTGTTTATGTTTTTTTTACAAAACTGTAATGTGGAGTCTGGACAGAAATGGTGTTTGACAAATGATTTTGGTGTTTTCATGGAACTAAAAATTAAAAAGGTTCAGCTTTTAAACACTTTCTCAAGCAGGTAGTCTTCAGGAAACAGTCTCTCTACTTCTTGGAGCAGAGGAAACGTCTATGTACATCCTATCCCACATCCTACTTTGGGTAGGATATACCGAGTATGTTTGGTTTGGTTTGGTTTGGTTTGGTTTGGTTTGGTTTGGTTTGGTTTAGGTTTAGGTTTAGGTTTAGCTTTAGGTTTAGGTTTAGGTTTTAAACCTAGTAAAACATACTTTTATCTTCTTCCTTTTTTATTCATATTGTTTATAAAAAATGAGGAAGTCTTGCCAAACATTCTTTCATTTTGTTGTGAAACCAATATAGCATTTTTGGATTACAGAAAAATGGAAACAGGACACAAATAACTTAAGTGTGTGATTAGCCTCCTATACAGAGGACTTACAGCTGGCGCAACAAGACGGGTCAAGGACAGAATTCAAATGCATGTTAAAGGGGGCATATTGTAATTTGTGTTTAGTAAGTTGGTGAGTCTGGAAGTTTGTTACAAAGTGGAGAATAAGATGGTAGTGGGGGTTTAGGGTCTAGAGAAGGTAGGCAATTAGACAACAAAAAATAAGTTTAGCCTCTCAAATTGCTTGTATTATTTTCTGCCATCTATTTATACAATCATTTGGCTCTAAGAAGGCTCCTACCTTAAAGTATACAGCGTGACCAAACGAGGCCTAAGGTCCATACAAGATTTTGGTGGGACTGTTGCCTCCTGTGATCAAGTACATTTAAAGGATGTCTTTACTATAACTTCATCCCTAAAGTGACTGATTTAGTACATGCACCCATTCTTAATGTTCTTTTTTTGGGCTATTATTTATTAGTTACTGTTATGAATCATAAAAGAGATTGAAGATTAGAACCTGAGATATTGCTCAACCGGCTATTACACTCCACCTTCTACAATTGATCCTTAATGTTCTGGCTCTCCTCAAGTTGTCAGTAACTGTAGATATTATTTTAGATGAACCTAGGACTGTATTTGGGGTTTCCTGTATCTAATTACAATAGCTAAAGTTATATCCATTTGTTCTACAGAGAACATCATGGCTGGGAATTTTTTACATGTGCATACCGACTGGAGTCGCTCTTGGTTATGTTTATGGTGGATGGGTATGTAACTATATGCTCCTGATCTTTGTTTCTTTCTGTGCTCGTTGGTGGTTCTGATAATATTGCTGGTTCTGTGAACTCACCTCAAAGTTGTAAGTTTCATCTCCTCAATTACACCAGAAGAGGTCAAACTAATGGCTGTTTAACCCTGTTTTGTAGGTTGGAACCAGTTTTGGTTGGCGCTATGCATTTTTTGGTGAGGCAATTCTAATGCTGCCATTTGCTATTTTGGGTTTTATGATGAAACCTTTGCAAATGAAAGGTACTTTTTGACATGGTGGCATTATGCTGTTTGGAAATCTGCAAACTTCTAGTGTTTCTCAGCAATACGTAAAAGAAACAAAAAACTATCTTTCTGAGTAAAAATACTTTGACACCTCTGGAGACAAATGTTGTAGAAGTTGGCAGTTGATCCATATGATTGCTCTTTGTTTGATATTTGTCGGTATGATCTTGCAGAGTTAAGATGACGGATGTCTCTTTGTAGCTTAGTTTAGTTTTTTCAGTAGCATATGATTTAGGTGGTAAACCCTTTAGGCATGAAACAGAAGTTCAACGTTAGTCATTTTCTTCTTCTCATTTGTATATTTGCATTTTCGTAGTTTATTATACACCCTTTCTAAGTAGTTCCCTATTGAACATAAAAAAGAAAGAAACCTCGTTTTCACGATTTTAACGAGTTTTGTACATATGTAGGTATGTCAAATGATAAAAATGTCCCAGGGTCTTTGACTGAAGAGTTCTCTGATCATACCTCAAAGAAACCTTTCAGGTGTTCCTCAAAGCAATAGCATATGAAACTCCCTTCAGTAAAACCAATGATGTCTAGATTTGAGGACTAAACCCGTTCTAAACTATTTATATTTTGTTGCAGCTATGGTTCATTTACTTCTAATCAGCTATACAGATTTTGGCAAGATATAAAGGATCTTTTGCACGAGAAGATATATGTCGTAAATGTTTTAGGTATTTAAATTTTGCAAAGAACTGCTGATGCCATGCATCCTGACTGTACAAGTCTTGTTATCCAACTGATACAATGTGCTACTTGTCTATTTTTGGATGGTTTTTCGTAGGTTATATTGCATATAATTTTGTCATTGGTGCATATTCATACTGGGGACCAAAGGCTGGTTATAGCATATATCAAATGGTAAAGCACATTTGACCTTTGTGTCAAGTGTTGGTCTTTTATTACAAACAATACTTGATCTAGAAACCAACATAAAGAATAAAGTTTTTAGCTCCAGAAGTTCTCCATCTGAGATTTTTATCTTTACAGAACAATGCGGATATATTGTTTGGAGGAATCACAATTGTCGGTGGAATTGTGGGGACATTGGGAGGAAGTATAATCCTGGATCGCATGAATTCCACAATCCCCAATGCTTTTAAGGTACATATTTCCTGTAAACATTGTGGATGCATTCATACATCCAACAATCTTCATCTATCCTTGCATCATGGAAATAGGACCCACAAAATGAAAATGAAAAGGGTCACTGAAAAGCGTTATATTTTTGTTGGTTCTTGGAAGAATGTTGCTAAATTTATAAAAAAATTCTCATGGGACAGACAAACATAATTGCCAGTGATTGTTTATTTGTGTTTAGAGTTTAGATGAATGGATTCTAGCAGGTTACTTAGCTGTATTAATATCTTCAAATTGGACATAGATAATCTGATTATGGTGTAACTTTAACTACTTATCCTATTACTCGAGAGTTGAGTGATAAATTTGTGGGTTATGTTGATTAATTCTATTTACACTTTGCAGCTTCTGTCCACAGCAACATTTTTCGGAGCAGTATTTTGCTTTAGTGCCTTTTGTTTCAAGAACCTTTATGTTTACATAGTTTTCTTTCTAATTGGTGAGATACTCGTTTTCGCCACTCAGGTACTTTCTTGTTAAGGATGTGAATTATTATTATCCACTATGGAAGTTATTATAGATTTAGGTGCTGATAAAGGAAGTAAATGACATTCTGCTGCAGGGTCCTGTGAATTTCGTGTGTCTTCATACTGTTAAACCAAGTTTGCGACCGTTATCTATGGCGATGTCTACTGTGTCGATTCACATCTTTGGTGATGTTCCATCCGCTCCACTTGTCGGGGCTCTCCAGGTTTGTCTTTCTGGTCCATAGCTAAATACATACAGTTGACATGATCCTTTATGTTGCCAAAATTCATATGAGTCTAGCTCGACACATGTCTAGTTTGTCTCCATTTTTGTGGGTCCCACATCAAGCAAATGGGGACCCGTTATTACATCGTTGTTTCTTCAGATGGTATAAATGAGACCCAAAATTATAAATCTTAAATCAACAAAAAAGGACCTTGGTTTAGTGGTTTAATGGGTTCAATTATGGCCAAAGCAAGATGATTAGATGGAATAGTGACGGTTGAACTAGTTCTAGCTCGACATTATGTCTACATTGTCTATATCTTTTTCGTCATTTTATGAGTTTTAGTTGACATGTTATGGATTTCCAAGAGAGAAATATATCTTGGAAATTACCTTCTGAAAATCATCTATATATGCAATTGATAAGAACCAGCTAGAAATATATTTGACGATGAACAGAAAATCGAACAAAGTAGCAATAACAAAGTAAACGATCTATGTTTGAGAGACCTACATATCAGTCTACGTTCGAGGGGTAGCCCAACTCCTTGTTGATGCTCACTTTGTGTTTGTAGTAAAAAATAAGCATGAGAATCTCATTCTCAGTCGTCCTACTTATAGCCTGTCTAAATTATGCAATTACCAAAACTACGCTCCACCCCTCTACCAACTACTTTAGGCCTATCATTCAGCAATACTTGCTTTTGATATCATTCACAATGAATTTGGTAACTGTTTCTTTGTTCTTAATAAGAATCTGCAAAGGGCTCATCGTTTTATGTGCAACACAGGACGAAGTTGACAACTGGAGGATATCTGCTTTGATCCTAACTTCAGTATTGTTCTTGGCAGCTGGAATATGGTTTATAGGTATGGTGTTACATTAATCTAATGCTTTCTTATTTTTGGTAAATTTCCGAACTAAAGCTGTATGGGTTTGTCGATTTTATCATTACAAGTTATAGATGGTAGTCATCCTTTTCCCAAGGCAATTCAGACACTTGACCGATAGTGAGTATTCACCTGGTCAGTACATCTTCATGGCGTGCATTTGATATGCAGGACAGGACAATATAAAGACTCGTCGTCCCACATTTGTCATAACTTTAGACTGGTAAAAGACACGATGTGAGTGGGACAAAAATGCATTTTTTTCATCCCACCAAAATATGGTAAAACAAAAATCTGGAAGACAAGACACGATTGGTAAATTACTAAATTACACATATCAAATTAAAACCCTAAAACCTCACGCTTTCTAGTCCTGACCATTCCCATCCACATGCATGTAGAGACTTTTACAGGATGGACCGATTGAAATCACCTTCCAGATAATAAATTATGTAGCCAGCTTGGATCTAAAAATCTTGAACATCTTCATGTTTCTTTGGTGCAGGCATCTTCCTGCACGGTGTGGACAGGTACAGTGAAGATAGTGAGCATCCGTTGGCGACTGTTGTTGAACAATCGGATGCAACACCCTTGCTTAAAAACAAGGCAGTGGATACTGCTGCATCTGCTCAACTATAAACATGGCAAGATTGATAAATGTACAGCTCTCATGAAAATTGTAAAACTTTTCCTTATTGGGGTGTAACATTCCTTTGTAAGACCCCTCCCTCACTCACTCATGCTGCCGATATAGCGCTGATGGTGTTGTGGATCACGAGTGTGATGGAGTTGTTACAGTATGCATTACTCGATTCTTCGGCCACACAAAGTACAAAATCTCCTTAAAACGGATTTAAACACCATTACTTTCTAGTTATATGCCATACCTATCAGTCATCCGTTTAAATTCCCTCGGAGATAGCAGAGATCTTCTCCTATTAACTTTAGGGCTTGGGATCAGTTGAGATGTATGTAAGTTAACCCGAAAGAGAAAAAAAAAATTAAGGGGGTGTTTTGTTAGAGGTATTACATTCATTAATGGGATTGAATATAAAATAAACTATTTGGTCTTATCTTTATAAGAAAATTATATTATTAAACCAAATATAAATTACTTCGTTATTGTACCTAAATTAAATCATAATAAAAAAATTGAATTAAAAAATTACACAAAAAATGAGGAATTTTAAATAGTTAATTTGATACGAATATCGATATATTTTTGTTATGCATAAAATACTGTATATTGATGCATATTACTTAAAATTCAAGATTACAAGTAATTATGCATAAGTACAACTTATTAAAGCTCGAT